TCTGCCCAAAGTCCACCTTTGAAGAGCCCTCCTTTCGGAAATCGTTAAGAGAGGCACAGGCCCTAGGGTCTTCAGTTTTCATAGTGCCTTTAATCCTCTTTTGGAAGAAATCAGTGTCACTATAAAGATTGTGAGGGACCCTTTATGCAGTTAAGTATTTTGAAAATATGTATTTAAAAACCTAATTGTAGATGAGTAAGCTTGAGCTAATATTAATAGCTGAGGCTTAAAAAGTTCTAAATGACAGCGTTAATTTCGGAACACTGGCCTTCCAATCCATTTGCCAATCAATAACAATATCCTTTTATTTGCAGCAAGTACAACTGAAGAGATTGAATTGGAAACCATTGAGTGTTAGCCAAGGACCATTTCATAACAAAAATAACAATTCTACCTCAGGAGAAAGTATTGACAAAGAAAGCAAGAAGAAACCTAAAAGGTAAAATGTTTGTGACTACTGTAGAAACATCCTGACTTGCAAACTAATTAGACATTAATTCAGCAATGTCTGATGAAGCTGCTTTGACCTGTTAAGTTTTCGGCTCTGCTAGCCAAGGTCAAAGCAAAAAAAAAAAAAGAGTAAGCTTTCATGCTGAGCACGAACACATTTTTGTGGCTAATTAATAAAATCTACAGCCTCTACCACTCTTAAAAACAACCAACCAACCAAGCCTCTAAGATCAACCCATAAAGGAAATTATCATGGTCTTGATGGACACCTGTATTTTGGCTACAGCAAGTCTTCTATTACAGACAGAGCAGCCATTAGAATCCTTCAACATAATAAATTTAATGTCTAATTAAAGTATTACATTAAAAAATTAATTGCAAGGATTGAATCCTGTTTATTATGCCCATGCTGCTACTTTTGGAGGTAAGGAATTTCCTGAAGCTCTGCAGACAAGCTGTAATTCTTCATGAGACAAAACTGACTTTGAAACAACGCTGAGCCGGTCAAAGCTCCCCCACGAACATTTCCAGTTGTTTACACTGCCCCAGGATATTAACACACATGGTATAACTAGAGGAGGTGGTTAAACAAGGAACCATGCACAGGCACTGAAGAGGATGCTGTCAATAATGATTAGAGGGGTCAGATAAAATATTGACACATCACACCAGTGGGGTGGCAAAATACTAAGCGTTTCTGTTGTGAAAAGATGTTGAGCCCTTTGCAGACTTAGTCCACTGATGAAGAGTCTATCTGGGAAGAAAAGTTAAAACAGCATTACTTCGAAATTTAATATTTACAAATAAGTTCGGAAATTGCTTTTGTTGAGAAGCCACCTCTGCTTTCCTGTGGTGTAAGAAAACACAAAGTGATCCAACTCATGTTTTCTTGAGTCTGCATATTGCACTTTGGTTTTCCACCTGCAGATCTGCTGAGTGGAATAACATTTGCTTTTGTGAGTGAGAAAGCACTAAGCCGGCCGAGCTTCAAATGATCTTGTTTGCTTTTGTAACAAGAAGAGTTTTACTGTGTGAAATAAACTTTGAAAATGTCAGAGCCCATGGACTAGTCTGTGCCTGCAGATTGCCACGCGGCTTTTCGAGCCAAACTGCTGCTACAGCCCCTCTCACACTTCAGCTCACTCATTCACACAAACATTTTACAAGACAAACTGACAGACCTTCTCCTCTGGTCAGGGACTGTGATGCTCAGGTGCAGAGGTACTACGGGTTACATGTGGAAAAATGAGAATTTCTCACCAAATACACAACGATGTAGGTGCCAGACAGGCTTTTTCCAAAGCACCTCTACACAATTCCTTCTGGATTGAACAGGCCAGTTGTAGTACAAAGGGCCTCTCACCCACTCATAAATTCGAGAACCAGATTCAGCTGGTTGCTCTTCCCTGCATCTAGAACAGGTCAAAAAGAGGTGGGATTTTTTTTTTTTTTTTAATTAATCCCAGCTACAGCCACAGTTAGGCAAAGTAAGATTGTTCTAATTCTTCACTCTAAGTATTACCAATCTTCTGAGTGAACTAAGCTTGACAACCCAGAAGTTTTAAGTGTGTCTGTTTCAATCATCAAATTTCAAGTACTTTGTAAACTATCCACATAGCATAAGGAAAGCATTGGGGTTTTTTTGTTTATCTATTCTAGACTTTTTTTAATCCCTAAATCTTAGAACTTGAATGTGAAATTTTTCATGAGCCTGAGTATCTAGCAGCTGCTTTGCCAGATTTCTTTAGAAAGTGCAGTTTAAGACCATTCTGATCTGCCAGTGTTGACTTGAATGCTGCAAGCGCCAAAGGGAAAGTCAGGAAACTATAGCGACATGAATGACCAGGCGAGAGCATTGCTGTAATAGTAGAGATCACTTCTAATTTACAATACTTGAAAGCCGGGCTGAATGCAGGAAACGAGCACTTAAAATTCTTCAGTTTAAGATGCCCTGCAAGAGCAGGAAGAAGTTGCCGGCTAGCACAGTTCTACCTCTCTCAGCTTGCCTAAAGATTGAACTTCAGGCACCCATCCGTGGCTACTGACTCCGATGCCAACCTCACTTTTAGGTAAGAATATCCCAGATGCACAACAGGGACTCAAATACTCAGTGAGGACAGAGTACTGTCAGTCTGGGTACAATTCCTCACTCACAGATTTTACCCAGAATTTAACATGCTTAACCTACATAAGTAAGGCACTTACAAAATATTTGCAGTTTCTGAGACTGATGTTTGCCAATTAATGTATGTCAATAATATTTCATATAGAGAATGTGAGGCTAAGCTGTCTGCAGCAGTTCCTTGCTACACCAGAGGTGCCTGCAGTATCTAAAGTTTTACGGCAAGCTGTTGAGGTGGAAGTTTAGAAACTAATAGCTATTCTTACTCCACTTGTAAGCTCCCCACAGGACAGCAGCAAACTTAGTATCTAGAGCATTCCAAGCAATCAAAGGGATTAAGGTATTTTGCATTTAAACTTGAATTAAAGAGGTGTCTAACCTCACGAGATTGCTTTGGCAATCAATTGTGAAGGTCTTAATAATCCACTGATGTCTTCATTTCACGTTCAAAAGATGCACTACCAAGAATTTCTTCTGTTAGAAGCCCTATCAGTCTATTTTCCATTAAAATTAGGCATCTCTGTGTATTCAACACTAAAAGACATTCTCCAGGTCCCTAATCATTCTTTTTTTTTAATTTATTTTTTATTATTATTTGCAGCAAGGCCTGGAAGTCTTGACAAATGTCTTCCCAGCTAACGTGCAGTGCTTGTACCTCTGCAACACAAACAAGGTCCTCTTGAGTGCCTTGTTTCTTTTTCAGAAAGGGGCAAATCCTGCAACTATGAGATCCTGATAGCTCCACAGTGATCCTAGTACTTGGTAATCATAGAATCATAGAATCATAGAATGGCCTAGGCTGGAAGGGACCTTAGAGATCATCTAATCCAACCTCCCTGTTTTGGGCAGGGACGCCACCTCTCGACTAGACCTGGCAACACATGGTAATGAAGAGCTTTCTCTGAAG